AATTGCGTTGATATTGTTACTTGAATACGCGAGAAGTTGACAGAAAAACAAAAATGCAAAAAAAAGACAGAATGCAAAGGAGGATTGCTTTTTACGGATGAAGAATATGATTGTTATCAAAGACATTGAAAACGATATAATTTTAATAAGCATTAAACGCGCTATCATCCAACCGCTAAAAAAATTATGATACAAATTAGATTTTTCACACTTTAGGAAAACAAAAGTGTGTGAAAGTGCTTTGTGTTTGCAGATATTTTATTATATACTCTCTGTGAAAGAGAATAAAAGAAAATGTAAATTTATGTTACGTCAGAAAATAATTAACCTTTTGTTCCTAGCATGTCGTCAGCGGTAACTCGACGAATTTTTCTTATATTAGAATCCACAATAACAAGTCTTAATCTATATAAATCTTCAATATAAAAAATTAATTTCGAAAAAAAAAATTAATTTTAATCGATATAGAATCATCATATATTATATTTATCGCTAAAATAACGAAAAAATGAATAAAATAATGAAAAAAATATTTCGTGGAGAATTAATTATTTTAAAATTAAAATAATATTGAAAATTATATTCTTTAATATTATAATTCAGAATTTCTCTCTGAGTGAGTGGACAAACTGAATTTTATTATCAAATGACCGATGATTCGGTACACAGATTTTACACAAAATAGTAATAATAGGTGATAAATAATAGGTGATTTTTTCATTATCTGAATAATTAATTAGGATACGCGCTTTATATGTACTTGCACTTAGCAACAGTAATAATCTCGACGTTCGATATTCTCGAAGGGGACGCATGTTATCGTCGATTAATTGGGAAACCACGTAGGGGTTTCGAGGGGCTATTAATTGGACTGTTATTAATTCAACATGTACCGCGAGTTTCCTCCCGGACTCTCAATATGAGATCGCGGATCGTAGTTAGTATCGCTGTTAGCACCCGATTACAATTATATGTATGTATGTATATACAATATATATTAGTAGCTCAAGTATTATATACACATTTGTACTTATATGTATAATTGACGAACAGCATTCGTTCTATTGTTCTATTAATATTTCCGTTGTACACTCTTTATTTGAAAAATGAAGGATTTATGAAAAAGCTTAATTGGCATATATTTCGTTAAAATATCTGTTTATGTTTTTAGAATGAGAAAAATAGAATTTAAAGTCCAGTGAAATCAAATGAGAGAAATGGAATTCTATTGTTCCATTTTTTTCCTTCAAAAAAGAATATTTCTATTTATATCAAGATTATTATTTCCGATAAATCAATTACGGTATATTTCAACAAAGAAATATTTTTATGAAGAAGATTTGTATTGTTTTTCCTATTGTGTGTTACTGCAGCCATTTCAAGAATATCTAACAAGCTATATGTTAGGTTGAGAAATATTTGCCTGACATGCTGCACTTAGTTTGCATCTACCTATTGATTTAGCTCTCCATCGCGAATAGAAGCAACGCTACTATCGCATCGTGAGGGATTTTACGAAATGATTACCGAAACACGATTAGAGAGAAGCTGTCGCTCTTCGCGCGGTGTTTAATTAGACAATAATTAACGCTTGCTCCAATTTCAAAGCCCTACTAGTACAAACAAGCAGATAAAGTTGTATAATACTTATCAACACAATGGTCTCCACAAGTATATAAATGAATACAAAGAAAGAATGTTAGTACTTTTATATTTTTTTTTAGTAACTTCTATTTTTCTCATATACTTTAAGTATGTGTCAATTATTTTGAAAAAGAAATGTATAAAACATGTATGAAAAATGCTTCTTTTATGCATAACTATTTTTTTCTCTTTTTTCAAAATTCTATGAAAACTATTGTTCTTACATTTCGTATAATTGATTATCCACTTAACAAAGTATGTCGAATAATTAAAATGAGCATCACTCGTGAAAGTAAGGCAATTAGTTTGGTTGGAATAGCATATAGCATTATAATCTAAGGAAGTGAGTTGCTTAAAATAACCAGAGCACCACTGAAAGTTTTATCATAATAGCAGTGATTATGAATTCTTTTAATATTACTCGCTCGGTAAAATATATGGTATATTTGTTACTTTTTATTTATAATGATGGCTCTTACATCATTTATCGACTAAAAAGTTTAATTAGACAGTAATTAACGCTTGCTCCAATTTCAAAGCCCTACTAGCACAGGCAAGCAGATAAAGTTGTATAATACTTATCACAATGGTCTCCACAAGTATATAAATGAATACAAAAAAAGAATGTTAGTACTTTTATATTTTTTTTTTTTGGAAACTGTTCTATTTTTCTCATAGATTTCAAGTATGTGTCAATTATTTTGAAAAAGAAATGTATAAAACATGGATGAAAAATGTTTCTTTTATGCATAACTATTTTTTTCTCTTTTTTCAAAATTCTGAGAAAACTATTGTTCTTACATTTCGTATAATTAATTATCCACTTAACAAAGTATGTCGAATAATTAAAATGAGCACCACTCGTGAAAGTAAGGCAATTAGTTTGGTTTGAATAGCATTATAATCTAAGAAAGCGAGTTGCTTAAAATAACCAGAACACCACTGAAAATTTTATCATAATAAGCAGTGATTATGAATTCTTTTGATACACAGTAAAAAATTTTGTGTTAAATTTAACATATTTCAAATGTCCCAATTTATCCACTTTAATTTTAATGTTAATTTAACAGAAGGCAAGTATGTAAATAAATAACACAAGTATATGTTTAAAAATTAACACAAAAGTGTAACACTTAAACTTTATCTGGAAATAAAATTTATGTTAAATTAACATATTTATAATGTTAAATTTAATTAAAAGAAAATGTTATTCTTATATTTTTATGATAAATAAACAGAAGAGATATGTCGATTTAACATATGGAAACTATTATAGAGAGAAAAATAACACAACTTATCTGTTCATTTTAACATATAACATATTTCATCAAAAATTTATGCATTTATATTAATTGTGTTGTTTTAACTTTTAGAAACGGTGAATATTAACACAACGCAGAAATGTCAAAATAACGCAACGATAATATATTACATTAACATAAAAGTATGTTAAAAATTTAACACATAAATTTTTACATGAGAAAATTTTAACAGAAATACAAAATGTTTTTTACCGTGTACTATTCGCTCGATACATGGTATATTTGTTACTTTTTATTTATAATTGTGACTCTTACATCATTTATTGATTAAAAGGAAATCGATATCAAATCGTTAATTTTTGCACGTCTGCAGCGATCTGCAAGCTTCATTAAGAATAAATGTCCGATATTAACGGTAAAAATACGGATAAAAGTGTCAAGATGCATTAATGGGGTACAGTTTTCTCCTAAATCCCAAAATGTTCGTAAAATATATATTGATATTATGTCGCACATTGTATGTGGAATTACGCTCACGTTTTACTTTCTTGATAATTTTTAAATAAATTTTATAAGCCACTAGTATTTTTCACAATTCATGATAAAATTCTATTTCTTCTTTGGAAACATTACAAGTGTAAAAGTTTAATTAAAAGCTCATAATACATTATTTAAATTGAATATAAAGTATTTTATTCGCACACGTGTGCAAAATGCTGTTTTTTCGCAACGAAGTAAGTGCAGGAGTTACGAAAATTTCAGCGAGAAACACAAACGAGTCGACTAAGGGGCAAACGGAGAAAAACGGCGGTATGTTGCTCGGTAAAGCACCATAAAGTCTCATTGGCTTTAATTCGGTCGTACCCTGCTGGCCACTGGGAGTGATTAATCGTAAGGTTACTGCAACACGAAAGCACCTTACCACCAATCATTCTCTACGATGCTTTAAAAGCAAGTCAACAATTGCTTAATGCGTTGCCCACCTGATTGACTATATATAGTTATTTTAACAAAAAAGAAATAAACAACTATTTTATTAACAATATTTTCAGGCTTATTTTTAAATTGAGAAAAAATAAGTTATTAGAAAAAGTAATTAAAACAAAATTATAAATTATATATTTGGTAACATCATATGTTTTTCCAAGTAATATCTATCATCCGGTATTCTCAATTACAAATACCTGTGTTCCCATTTATTAAAATTCATCGTAAAAGGAAGAAGGGGCTTTCGGTTAATGGTGATGAAAAATTCAACTACTTTTAAAAGGAAGGGAAAAAGGTCGGTCAATGTTTAATCTTTAAATAGATCAGGATATATTATACATTCTCATTGTATCCCTTATTAAATCTTGGAAGTTTTTAAGACTCATCTTTAATTTTTTATTGCGTTCTTCTCTTTCCCACTTTTAGATTGCTAAAAGAATCTGTTGATGAAAATATAACAAACTTACGAGGAAACCTTACATACATCAAAGTAATATTTCTTATTATTATGATGCTTTGCCGAGATTAAAAAAAATTATATAGTGCCGATGTCTAAAAGCTTAAACATTTAATTAGACTAATTCTGTTTTTTGATAATACATGTATGTATGTATTTACATTTGAGAGTAGAAGAAATATATAAAAAAAATTTAATATAAAAAAAATAAATAAAATAAAAAAGTAAAAAATAATAAAATAAAAAATTAATAAAATGCAACAAAAAATTTAATTAATTAATTAAATAAGTAAAGTAACTTGCGTTATAATTAATTATACGCACATATATAGTACTTATGTTGTATTGTGCAATAAATATGATAGATGTTCAGAAAGTTCGCTCCTCTTAAATCCGTTCATTGATGTTTAAAAGTTTATTATTCATCGAGCATAATTCGCATACTGCGCGCATGTAGATCATGTGAAACGCAACGAAATGCTTATAAACTCTCGAAGAGCACATTTATTTCTGGTTTATAAATATGCATGCCTCATTGCTTATTCCGCGGTATAGAGAACCGATGGTATTTTCTTCCTTTTTATTTTTATTCGACTGATGTGCCGGTGAAACGTTGATTGAAAGTGTGCTCGCTCTTGCTGCTGTTTCAGCTGCGCGAGTATACCCTGACAGAATCGTATCACGAAGACGACGTCGAGGTAGAATTCATCAGCAACGACAATCTCCAAGCGAACAACGAGGCTCCCAGAGGAATCGATCCGAACAGGGATCTAAACGAGGCCATAGCTGAAGAACGAAGGGAAATGGACACCCAAAGATACAGGTACACATTTCCACGTACTACCACGGTCGGTCTTTTCTCGCCCTCCTTCGTCAAATTTTATATTTTACGGATTAACGGGAGCAGAAAGTTATACTTTATGTATGTGCTGGGTCGCATACATATTTGATAATCCAAAATGGGCTGTAAAAAAATAAAAGAATTTTCTCTTGTTTTACGTATCCGCGTTTTCGGATTCAGTCGTATCGGTTATAAAATTTTAAAAGAAAAACTTGAAAAGAGAAATTTTAATTTATCTTGACCGAAATTTAGAATATTTATAGAATGTAGGACATGAAGTATTTTTCACGTATATAAATGAATGATTTTTCTCTGCATTATTTAAAGAAGTATAATTAAATTTAGATGCACAGATATAGTATACATAAAAGGACTCGAACTCTACGATAAATTACATTATATAGGGCCGATACTATTTTTCATCTGAATATATAATATAATAATTTAAAATAAAACAATAGCCATTATATAAATATGTATAATTTTCGACATTTCTAATATATGCGAATATTATAGACACATCATGTGACTAAATATTTTTTTACGATGCGATATCTTCTTCATGTTCGCTTCTTAGAGTATTCAGTCACGTTAGATTGAGGACTAAGGGAGACACCGGTATGTCATAAATCCACAGTTAATAAAACCGAGGGTCCGAGAGGAAGCCCAAAGTTCAAGTCAGCTCGTTAAGCCCAGCAGCCTAGTACGTTTTCTTCGAGTTTTAGTTCGTCCAGGATGTCACCTTGAGACGAAACTCTTAAACTTGAGAACGGTAGATAGTAAATGGTTGCCTTTTCCCAGCGATATGAGAGAGGATCGCAAAAATGACGAGTATGTATTCAATGGACGCGCACATTCATGTCAAGCGTATTTCATCCCAGAGGAGCGACAATCGTCTGACAACATCCGCGTATTGATATCGAATTTTGGAAACGGCGTCATTGACTGCCCGAAAATGGTCTTTGCATCTATCTCGCTGCTTTTCCTCTTGTAAGAGAGGCAAACGTGCGCGAAAAGTCGTGGAATTTTATGACAGTGCAAAGCATTGAGTTACCTTGCTTATGAGCGACAAATATTTAAAGTAAACGACATGTGTTGCTTTTTATCAGATCTTTATCGAGAGAACAATCTGACATATACTTCGAAAAATGATATAGTATCTTTCAACAATAAGTAAAGATATTCATTCGAATGTGCTTGATTCTCTGTAACTTGTGAAATATAAATGGATAAGAAAATAATATTACAAAACACACAGTAGCATTTCAAATATACTTCTAATATACGAAAATAACATATTTCCCAAAAATCATAAAAAAAATTCGAATTCCACCTTCAATCGCCATGCACTTCTCAGGTAGTTTGCGACACGTATTTGTGAGGGACTTTCTTTCCCTCCACAGTGTCCGATACTGTCGCCGGCCAAAGTATTGACCTTTCCTCTTGGGTCACTCTCGCGTTTCTCTCGTCTTATGAAAGGCTCAACACACGCTCGAGAAGAGATTCATCCAACCCCTTTCGCCGCTCTCTTTTATGACAGGAATCGTTCTCCTTTGCCTTCCACCGGCATCTCTTCATGCCCTTACGAGATTGTTCTCTTGTCCGTCCCTCCAGCGTGTACCTTCTCGCTCTATTTCTCTCTTTAACTTTTACGACAGAGAGCTCGAGCTCGGGGAGAGGTTTGCACATAAAGATCGCGAGGTTTTTTTTTTCTTCTCACGATGTGTCATCCTTACTCGACCCTCGGAAAAATCATCGTACTCGCCCTGTGACATTTGACAACTCGGTATAACGTTTGCGCAATAATGGAGCGAAACCGCCGTAATATGTCCTCAGAAGAAAATTCATCCGCCGACGACACAACTTTTCACTTTCGCCATATCACGCCAACAACATCTTCTCGAGTCTCTCTTCAGTTAACTTTAATAAAATTGTCTACTTTCTATTTCTAATACACCATGAGTACGCAAACTGTGAATTACTGCTAACACCGTTCGCCCCAATTGCACGAGAATAAAAGTTTAAGGAGAATTTATGGGAATGTTTTAAGACCACTTTCCCAGTGCAGGTATAAAATGTGCTTGTATTTCCACATCCGAAGTAAAACTCTCCCTTATATCTAGGAGATCATTAAAAAGTAAATGATTACTTAATTCCGATATTGACATGGGAAATTCATATAACTTAGTCATTACTCGATTAAACAATACACTTTAATAATGATCAAAATTCATATAACTTCTCAATTGCAAATTAATCATAATTAACTCTTATAATACTTTGATCTTTTCAGAATAAATATATATAAAAAATTACAAATTTTTCTCCAATAAATTTAACTACATAAAAATATCATATTTCCATTTATAATAATAGTAAATTTTTCGTACGACTTCTAAAAGTAGAGAATTGCGTGTTATAAGATATCTAAATCTGGTTTGGAAAATATAAAAGGCCAACAGAATAGGCTAATTGATCAGGATGTATGTATTGTACGCGACGAAAAGTAATATTCCCCCTTTCGTTTTGTTTATCGAGCGAAAAATCCCACTGAAGCTACCCCTCGAGCCGCAAATGCAATTTATCGTGAAACACAGCTAGTCGGATTGGAAAGGACGCAGCCAACATTGAATACCAATAACGATATTATGCGTGTCCGTGGGTGTCGCGTCTGATTCTACTCGATGTTTTAAATACAAATGGAGTATAACCTATTACCTCGATATAATATTACGTGCTACGCACGATGATTTTTTTACACTTTTTTTATATACCTACGAACACGCCGGAAAGTGCACTTTCAGACCCGACTTTGAAGTTACTCAAGATCGACCACCGGGGCGACTTTCATCGGACTTTTATCGTAATGAAAAGTAAATCATAAAATATTTTCATTAACTTAAATGAAAATCAGAAAATAAATACTTACACGATTCAAACATAGATGACATATTTAAACGTACTTCTTAAATAAAAAGTAGTAAAGTAATAAAGTAAAGTAGTAAAAAATTATACTGCTAATGTGCTTTAAATTTCATATTGAATTTTAATTTTAGCTTATAAATCTTGTATAATTAGTAAATTTGTATAATTATAAATAAGAGAAGCAGCACCTTGATGAAAAAGCAATATATATTTTTATGGGATATAATAAATATGCGCGTATAATACACAATACACGTTATACTTATCTTTTGTATTTAAGACGCATTGAAATTGCTATAAATTCAATGTTTTCAATTGCCATATAAAATTCTATATCCTCTTCACATATTCCATATTCACATATTCCGCTATTCGTAACAGGATTCGTACTCTGTACATTTCTATATTCGCGAATATTATTTATATTTCTTACGAACTTGAAGCATTATAAAAGCGCGGTAAAGCTTTTCGAGAATGAAAGAAGCTTTTCTAAAAATCGCGATCGAATATGTGTACGGTTTTTGATATCTAATGGATGATTGCGATACTAATTTTACGGATGATTCGCGACAATTTTTGCGATACGTGCAACCGTGTCCGGTAGTTCTCGCCGTAATATCCGACCGGAGGTTAAAAGCCGACAGAAAATATCGACATCAACGAGGAGAAAAACTTGAAAATAACGTTGTAACGTGCTGCTCTATCTCTTTTTCTTTCTCTGTTATATCGTCTCCGACATTTTATACTTGTTTTACTTCTACTGGGGCGGACATGGCTGACGGAGATTTTCATGACCTCCAATTTCGATCAAGCTGTCCGACGAAATTGGGAAAATAAAGGGGATATTTTCTCCACTGAAGAGCTGACCGTGCGCAGCGCGAAATATTACAGTTGGCGAAAAGTTAATTCTTTGTAGAAAAATCCGCGGATGATGTGAAATATATGTCATTAATTTATAGATATGCTTGATGAAATATTAAATATTAATAATTCGAAATACGGGAGAAAAAATTATATATAAAATTATATTTTCTCTATTAATTTTTAATATTTTTAATATTTAATATTAAATATGTTTACTACTGTAAAGGGCTCTGAAGAGATTTAAACTTCAAAAAAAGCGAGAGACGAGAATTGCACGGAAAAACATCTTTTATATTCGATTGTATTTTCATCGGACTAAAGATTGATAGTTTCGAGTATTTGCGTGATGTATCAAGAGTTGCTGTCTCATATTTGTTATCAATATATTACAATCATATTTACGCTCGCGTCGATTCGTACAATTCTCCAAACAAATTATTTCACTCTCGCGTGTTCTTTCGATCACTCTATCATATCCTATCGAAAAAATCCAATCTATGATGCATTTCTTATACTTCGATATCCCGTACTAACGCAACAAAGCCGATCAGGATAAAATTCTGAATGCCATTCGAAAAGAAAGATGTAACTCTCAACAATTCCGATTATTCGACTCGTTCGAAAAATTCACAGCGAAAAATACACCCAGTGGTTTCCAAAATATCCTGTATTTTCCGTGCTCTTCTATCATTGCACAATTAACGTTTCTGCGATACCTGATGCCGGATCGGAACTGTATCAAAGACCGCAAAATATTTCGGAGAATGATCGAATCGATACGCACAATCGGCGAGCGATCATGCGAAAACCGACCAGGCATTTGCTTTACAGGCCTCTCCTAGTATCCATCCAATATCCGGTTAACGCGCCGTCAAGATCGATAAAGCTTACGTTCGATGACACTCGAGATCGATCTGTAATCCTCCCTTCTGCGGGGAGTAGCCAATCTCCTCGGAACGTTACCGCAGATTCGATTCCATTCGACGCTATCTGGCCACTCGGCAGGGAACGATCGTCGTTTTCTGGTAATTGCTATTGTGCCTTCGAGACTGTTACTGATGCTACTGCCCCACTTTAGGACGAGATCTTTCTATTTTCCTGCTCTTTGTCTTAACAGATTAAATCTTACGACCGGATCATCCCGGTCATTTCCTTGTCCGGGACCCGCGCACTAAGATAGTTTCAGAACGGAA